AGATTTAATTCTCACCATAGATTTAAGCAGGAAAATATTTTATCCCCATCTTGTAATTTGGGAAATTGAGGCACAGAGAAGCTAAACAGTATATCTAATGGTATAGAAAGCATAAGGAAGACACTTGGGACTTGACTCAAGACCACCAGCCCACATTCTATGCAAATACTTGTTCCCCACTATATCCCTTGTAAGATACCTCCTCCAAACTGAAACATTCTCTCCTCTAAGAGTTCAGGGAGGGAAAGGGAAGAATATAGGAACAGCCAGAGGCCATGACTGTTTCTCCTTCACTCATGTCTTCCAAAAGAAAACCATTCAGCAAATGCCGAGGGTCTAGTATGGTCAAGGTATGAGTGAGGCTCTTTCAGGGGTGGCCATCACATTCTTTTAGGGGGATACCTACATCACATATTACAGTGCCTGGACTCGGGTCCCAGCTCCATTCCTGTCTCCAAGTTCTTGTTATTGGGCACCTTGGAGGCAGAAAGTGATGGCTAAGTAATTGAGTCATGTCTCCCACGTGGGAGGCGTAGATGTGTGGAGTTCCTGTTTCCGAGCTTTAGCCTGGCCCAGTCACACTACTTTGGATATTTGGGAAGTGAACCAATGGATGAAACAATTTTCCTCTCTCTCTCTCTCTCTCTCTCTCTCTCTCTTTCTCCCTCCATACCCCCTCCCAGCTTTCAAATAAATAAAGTAAACAAATCAAATTTCATAAAGTTTTACAAAACCAATCAAACAATGACATGCATCCTGAATCCTTATTTATGATATGAGGTACCTTTCAACACATCCTTCTTCCCAGCCAAGCCCTAATTCAGACATAAATGACCAAGCTTCCCTGTTGGCTCCTGCAGGTGTTTGTGGACACAGAACCTCACGGCCCATTAGGACAGAGGCTAGCGACCAGTGTCACTCAAACTTAGACTCTTCAAGAATATCACAGCTCCTCACTTCACTGATGGAAGTCTCCACACGGCTCCTCTGTGAGTGCTAAAAATTACAACTAGCCCTGGGATATAAAATAATTGAAAACATGGAGGGCCCAGCACAGTAGCCTATTAGCACAGTAGCCTATTGGCTAAAGTCCTTACCTTGCATGCGCTGGGGTCCCATATGGTCATCAGTTCTAATCCGAGCACTCCTACTTCCCATCCAGCTCCCTGCTTGTGGCCTGGGACGGCCCAAAGCCTTGGGACCCTGCACTTGCGTGGGCGATCCGGAAGAAACTTCTGGCTCCTGGCTTCAAATTGGCTCAGCTCTGGGCATCGAGGCCACTCAAGGAGCAAACCAGTGGATGGAAGATCTTCCTCTCTCTGTCTCTCCTTCTCTCTGTAGATTTGACTTTCCAACAATAAATAAATAAATCTTTTAAAATTAATGGAAGACATATAGTCCTACTAAAAAGAAAAATGAGGTCCAATGCAGAGAACAAATTCAAACATTCTTTACCAAATTTTTGCAACTGTTTCAATGCCAACAGAATGTATTCTCAACAGCTGCAAAGGCTGACATGTGGAAGGTTTAGCTTATGCCCATGACACCAGCATCTCATACAAGTGCTGGCTCAAGTCCCAACTGCTCCACTTCTAACAGCTCCCAGCTTGTAGCATGGGAGAGCAGCAGAGAATGTCTTAAGTCCTAGAGTCCCTGTACCCACACGGAAGAGCCAAAAGACTTCCTGGCTCCTGGTTTTGAATGGTCCAGCTCCTGCCATTGCAGTCATTTGGGGGACTGAACCAGCAGATGGAAGATCTCTGTCATTCTCTCTGAAACTTTGACTTTTAAACTTTAATCGGTATTTTTAATTAGCAATAATCACGCCTCAGATAAACCTCATTGGCTATGATATTGCCACTGATAAAGCTACCTCTTTAAAAAAAATAACTATCTCATCCAAGAAGAGCATAGCAGTATCTAAAATACTTAGAGCTACAGAGTAAGTGCCCATAGCTGCAAAAGAAGGCCTTTGGCAGTTTTATGCGCGTCCTGATTAAAGTCAAAGATGTTTCTGGCTTTGACTTCACTTTAAGCAAACCTGTGACTTTAGGGAGGCTCCCATGGTTGCTCAGTTAGGGAGACATTTTTTGTTGGGTTGTTAACCATCCAACAGAGCCCAGAGCAAAGAATTACTTGGTTCAAAATGCCACTAGTACTGAGGCAGAGAAATCTTGGTGTATAGCGAGAACATGTATTAAAGCAAAACTTCAAGATCTTCAATGTTTTTGCCCAAATACATGTTACATGCAAATACAGAGACCCTGCGTGTCCTAAGGAGTGGTGAGCGGGAGCATAAGCCACAGTAGCTCACCAGCATCGCTGCTGCTCTTCTCCACAGCGCTCTGATGATAAGTTCCTCCTGTACAGGAGGAGGGCATGGGCCTGACAGTTAAGACGGCCATTCGTGACTCATCTTCTAAATCTGAGTCCCTTGGTTCAATCCCTGGTTCTGGTTCCTGGCTCCTGTTTCTTGATAAAGTAGCATGTGGCGGGCAGTGGTCATGATTCAAGCAAGGACCACCCCCCCACACTGTGGGAGACTTGGACCGAGTTCCTGCATCCTGGCTTCAGTGTCTGCAACCACCTGCAAGCAGACAACAGGCTTGTCTGTCTGTTTCTACCTCTCAAATAAAGAAATACATTTTTTAAAATTCAGCCAGAATAATATTTTAAAAGCTTTTAAAAATAAAGTTTCTTATATCAGCATTTTCCCTCTCCTCGGCAGAGGCTTAGACCCGATGAACCTACTTTAAAACCACATAGCATGCATATCCGCAGGCTCTTCAAAAGTCCAAAGGGGAAAAGAGAAGGGCAAGAGACCCTTCACTGCAGTGGGCTTGTATAATTCTGCAGTGGGCCAAGGCCAGAACAGGGCCTCCCCTGATGTCTCACCCACCTGCTCTGGGATCACTGTCCCCTGCACAAAATAAAACTCGTAAACAAACGGCAAAGTATGTAACTCCCAAGTCATGATTACAAAAGTTGAAAGTAGAAAACCAAAAGTTACTGACTTTCCAAGAACCTCACCTAAGTCCACTCTAACTTAAGACATCTACCTGGGGCATGTGTTGGGCATAGCAGTGAGACACCACTGGACATACCCACACCGTGTATCATCAAAGTGCCTGGGTTTAAGTCTTCCCTCCTGACTGCAGCTTTCTGCTCAAACGCACCCCAGGAAGCAACTGGTTATGGCTGAAGCACTCGGGTCCCTGGCATCCTCAGAAGTTCGGATGGAGTTCTTGGCTCCAGGCTTTGGTCCTGTCCAGCCCCAGCTGTTCAAGGTATTTGGGAATGAACTGTGAATGTCAGAGCACCCCCCCCCGCCCTCTTCTTCAGATTGAAAATAATAAGAAAGCTTATATCCCATGCACTAAGCACATAAAGCAAAACATAAACTTGATTTCAAATGTCATAGAAGCTTACAGTGACTTGTGGCAATTTCTCTACCTCTTGTCGGTTCTTGGGGAGTTGAGTGGTTCCCTTCTTTCTTTTCCTTCTGCCTGCTTCCCATCCATTCCTCCCTGGGCATCTTGGTGCCTTCTGCAGACACCGACAGTGGGAACATTTGCAACTCCATGGAATCCAGAATCTTGGAAAACCATCCTCTTCCCTTTTCATGTGGGGGATGGGGAGTTCATCCCTCTTCATAAGGTGAGGCCCACGCTGGGGAAACAGGGGAACAGGAAATATCTGGAAATCACCTCTCAGATGTTCTCCAACTTTCCACCCCTCTGTTCTGCTAGGTGCTCCTTAAAGAATTCCTGCCTGCTCCCGTTTCTCCCAGTTTTGCTAACGTGGAGCTCTGGCCTGTGTTACCCGTGGAGTTTTTTGTTCTCTAAGTTTGTAATGTAGATTAACCAGGCAAAGGAAATGAGAAGTGCCAACGGCTAGGTTAAGACTGCACTTCGGAAATTCTGTGAACCTGTTCGACAACTTTCTCGTAAATGCCTGCGCGCCAAGGAAACAGCTAAGCTGGTCCCGCTGTGGGCAGCGAAAGGCAAAGAGCCAGACCTGCCCCGAGTCTGCACTGCCTCCTGAACATCTCAGGAAGCAGAATGTCATAGGGGGAAAGGAGAACTGTACAGCTCCAACATGTCTCGCAAACGGTGAAAAAAAAATGCTACCAGCTCTCTGCTCCCACCCTGAGAGACGCGTTGCAGGACTGCCCGGGCTAGGCTAATAAAAGCGCACGGCGTAAACGGCTTGGTGATTATTGGCTTTCGCCCTTGGACGGAGAAATGAGATCACGATTTTCACCAAGGGCAGGAGACGACGCTGCCCGTCTGCTGAGGCCGCTGCCTCCCCTCCCTGTGCGGATCCCGCATTACATCACTGGTGAGCTGTGGCTGCTGTGGGGGGGAGACGAGGCGGCTCCGGGGACCCAGCTCTGGATGGGGGGTGGGTGTGGGAGGGGTGGACGCCGCCGCTCCGGAGACCGAGCTCCAGACAGAGCAGAATAAAAACAGCATAACCCGGGGGGGGGGGGGGGGGGGGGAGATGTGCAGAAAGAGAGAAAAGGCAAAAGCAGAACCCAGTTTCCACCCCACCCCCGGTCACCACCCGGGTGGAAGAGAGCACTGCATAGGTGAAACGCAACCTCTCAAAGCAACCGCACCCCAAATCCGGGGTCCTTAGCGCCTCCCTGCCGCCTAAAATCCCACTTCCAGATGTAACTACACCCAATATCCAAAGCTGCGGAAACAGCTACCTGGAAGGGACCGAGGGCGGACAGCCGAGAGGCGCCCGGGGACTGGGAGGGTCAGAGGCTCGGGTACTTGGAGGCGGGGTGGGGTGTGGAGACGCGAGTGGGAGGCGGTCGCCACTGCGCCCCCGCCCGGCCCAGCCAGTGGTGCCGCCCCCGTCCCCAGCCCCCCGGCCAGGCGACAGCAGTCAGAGGGGGGGAGGCAGAGCGCCTCCTCCCCGCCCGGAGCCGAACCAGCCTCGCCGGGGGAGGAGAGCGCTCACCTTGCCCCCCATGAGGGGCGGATCATGCCATGGCAGCGCCGGCGAGCCACAGCGGCGACAGCGAACAGAGCCCGAGCAGCAGCCCCGGGAGCCGGACTGGAGTCGGGGGCACCGCGCTGGGAGCCCGGGACTCAGCGGCGACGGCCCCCGGCCTCCCTCCGCTGGAGGACTACGAGTGCAAAATCTGCTACAATTACTTCGACGCGGACCGCCGCGCACCCAAACTGCTGGCGTGCCTGCACACCTTCTGCCAGGAGTGCCTGAGCCAGCTGCAGCTCCGCGCCGCCGCCGCCAGTGCCGGGTCTGAGCGCCAGCCGCGCCCGCCGCCCTGGCACGGCCCTCCGGGCGCCATCGCGTGCCCCGTGTGCCGCCACCGCACGCCGCTGCCCGACAGTCGCGTGCACGGCCTGCCTAACAACACCAAGCTCGCAGAGGCCTTCCCGCTGGCCCTGCGCGCCGCGCACGACCCGCTGCCCCAGGACCGCCTCCCGCCGCTGCCCGCGCGCCGCCCCGTGCCCGCCGCCGCCACCGCCGCGCCGCCCGTCGCAGCCCCGCAGCCCCCGCCGCCCGTCGAGGACGCGGACCCGGAGCCCCGCGCCCGCACGGGCCTGCGCGCCCCCGGTGCCTACGAGAGCTGCCAGAACTGCAAGCGCGCCGCGCTCACCGCCGGTTGCGTGTGCGTCGTCTTCTCCTTCCTGTCCATGGTGGTGCTGCTCTTCACCGGCCTCATTTTCGTCAACCACTACGGTGGCGGCGGCGGCGGGGGATCCCCCGGGGTCGGGACGACGCCTGGCACCGGCCCGGCGTCCGGGACGCCCTCGCCTTCGCCCGTGGGGCCCATCTGCCTGTCGGTGGCCAGCATCCTGGCGCTCTTCTCCGTGGTTGTCACCTGGGTCATCTGCTGGCTCAAGTACCGGCCCGAGGGCGCCGCCACGGGCTCCGCGGGAAGCAGCGGCGGCGGGGGCCCGAGGGCGCGGGCAGCGGCGGCTCCCGGCAGCGCGCGGAGGAGCGACACGTAGCGGGTGTCTCGCCAGCACCTCGCTCCCGTGCGTCCCAGGAGAAGGGAACCTCTGGGCTCAGCACGCTAGCTTCTCCACCTCCCCCTGCGTCCCCCCACCCCTTCAGACGCTCACCTCCTCCCATCGGGCTCTCCACGCCCCACCTGCTCAGCACGGGGGCCAAAGAGGGAACCGAGGGGACGCCCAGACTGTGCATCCCCTTCCTCGCCAGAATGCGCGGCGGGCCTTTCCCAAAGTCCATGGATTTTTCAGAAAGAAAACGGGTTGGGACCCCCGCTGCCCCGGTCGAAAATTGGTTTTCTAGCTACTGGGATTGAAGAGTTTCTTTTAAGGGTACAGGTGCGCGAGCGCGCACGTACGCGTCTGCCGCGGTTGTGAATGAACTTGAATCGCCCGGAGGATGTCAGCGTGAAGGAAACGTTTCTCTGCTTCCCGGAGGTCCCGAATACTGAAAGCCACAGAGGCACGCTCCGAGCGACTGTGAGTGCGCGGCTGCTGTTCGCACCCGCCGCTGGCCGCATCTGTGCGGGATGGGGCAGGTGCGCAGCGCGCGTGCGTGTTTCGGGCACGCGGCGGAGCAGGGGCGGCGGCCCGCACCGGGCTGTGCATTCCCCTGACCCAGGTCCGCAGGCCTGAGTAGAGCCCTGGAGTCCCGTCTTTTCGAAGTTTGGGGTGGGTTTACTCAACAAACTACCGCCTGGAAGTCATTTCATCTGTAACTGGACTCAGGGAGCTTAAAAAGCCTGTTTTCTCTTCTTCTCAAAACTGACTGACTGTTGCCCCCACCTGGAAGATACTGAAAGCTATTCAAACAGAATATCCACTGTAGGCTTCCCTGAACTTCTGTTAAGTTCATTTAAAATAACTTCTTTTCGAATGCTTAAGATTTCTAGAAAAGTTGTTGGTAAGCACTGACAATCCTGCCATACCTCCAGTCCAAAAACATTTCGAAACAAATAGTTGTAAGTAACAGTGTGTTGGCAGTTGTTGAAGATTTTATATCGTATACAGTTATATCCTAAAATGTAACATAATGCCCAAAGACAAAATGACGAGCCTTTTTGCCTTTGACTATAAAGATATACAGTATACGTTTATGAGAAAAATATTTCAAAGTCGAGAGATGAGATATTGTTGGAATCACTATAATGTTAACTTCTGTTCATATGTGATAAAAAGGAACAACAACAACAAAAAAAAAAGAATAGATGCCTGATTTTGCAACAAAAAGGCGAACCACAAGTATATGTGGCTGGTGGATTAGATGCCTTTTTTTTCTTTTTAAAGAAAACAAAAATCTCTTCCAAATGTATTTTACATGAAAACAGTCTTTATTCCATCTTTTGAGGCTTGGAGCAAGACAAAGTTTCCAGGCTTAAACATCACAGAAGATGCTGAGGGTGGGTGTTATTCCCTGTGTATTTATGCAAGCCGTTTGCATGAGATTCTGACACTATCGTATTAACTGAACTAGAATGGGACACTTGTATCTACCCTATGAGTGAAGTAATTTATTGGCCGATGATAAGTGGTTTGGCTGCAATATGGGAACCACATTATAATGTGCTATGTGTCTTCATTGTCTTAATAAAAAGGGATTATTTATAGAAAAGCCTATATTGGTGGTGTTTATTCCATAGTGAAATTGTTTCAAGTTATTTTTGCAGCACTCCTCTTCCTTAAACACATTTGCATCCAGATTCCAATTACAGATTTTGAAATGGGCTGAGAGAAATCTCACACAAGGGAATATCCATCAGGAAGATGGGCACCTCAGGGAATTGTTTGTAGTGCTGAATAGGAATCCCAGGGAAATCTGTTGAGGTGCTCTGAAGGCAGAACCACTAACCTGAAGTCTGCTCTCAGACCATGTTCTTGGTTTCTGTGAAATGTTTTAGTTTTCAATGTTAAGTATCCCGTTTGAGAGATGAGTTTTGTTTCTGACTCAAAAATATCATATTACTTCTATACCCACTTATATCTTCTCTTCACACTTTCTTTCTTTCTTTCTTTCTTTCTTTCTTTCTTTCTTTCTTTCTTTCTTTCTTTCTTTCTTTCTTTTTAATCACAGTACTGGGATTCTGTTTACATCCATACAACTATTTAAATGCACAAATGTATCTCTATATGCAAATGGATATATAAGTATACAGATCATGTGTGCTGTATATTGCATAGGAATATCAGAACTTGGCTTTTGTATGTGACCATGTGTACCCATTTGTATTATTTCTTTCTCTGGCAATCTAGAAATCTGTCTGAAGTCTTCTTGGAACCACTTGCATCTTACACAGTTTGTGTTCCACAGAAATATACCAATGAGGTAACCTAAATTATCCCTTGTGAGTGGGAAGCATGTTTTCAAATTATCACATAGAAGTCACTTTGTTTCTTTCATGCATTGTACACAAATTTCTTATCATGAGAAATTTGAATTAGAATCCTTCCAAAGTCCAATACATGCAGGCATTAAGTTAGTACCCAGACATGAAAAGATTTGTTATTTTCTTGAGTGACCTTGTTCATCACTAGTTTTGGACTCTCAACAAGAATTGGGTGGCAGATAAAGTGATGAAAAGCATGCGTCTAGCTCCTTGTGATTCTCAAGTATTCAAGTGCCCCACTTTGCAGATTTGATTTATTCAATTCTTGCTTAATATGGAAAGATCTGGCATACCAGCACCTGAAATGAAGCAGGCATTGAGGAACAAGCAACTGTTGAGGTCGGTAGGTTGTCTGGTGGCCTCCTAGTTCCAGTGGAGTGTTTTTCTCCTTTCCCCTGGAAATTTCCATCTTTTCCAATCCTGGACACTCTCTCCAACCTATGAGGACTGTAAAAACCCAGACCTGCTCAGGAACCTGGAGTCCCTCTGCCTGGTCCTGAGGGTACAGGGTGAAGTTATGGTGATGATGCTTCCTTACAGTCTGATGCAGAATCCAGGTAAGCAGCATTCACATGCACACAGGGCTTAGGTATTTGCACCCAGAAAATGTCCATCTCAGTATTGGCTCTTGCCTCACTTGGGAAGTCATCTAACCTCTTGGGGCATCCAGCTCCTCATTTACGAAATGAGAAGGAAATGTCAGTTCCACCTGCCTCATGGAACTGATGTGAGCGTTAGCACACTGATGGGCCCATGCCTCTGTTTCCATTCAGGTCTCCAAACGCTAACATTATTTCCCCAAAGTGGTCAGTGCCCTGAAGCAACTCCTTTCCCCCAAAATACAGATTTCAGTTTAATTTCTTCTTAACACAGCTGTTTGGAGTGGTTCTATTTACTTACTTGCTGTTGTTTTTGTCAGCCTCTTATAACAGAATGTAATGACAAGGACAGAACCTTGTTTATGGGTCCTCCATTCTATTTGGAAAGCCTTAACCATTCTCAGCACATACTAAATGCTGGGCACTCTGTTGAGTCCAATGAAAGGGAACCCTGGAATGTTGGGAAACTAGGCTACCCAGTTACTGAACAGCTACTGAAAAAAACTACATCAAGACAAGCACTTTGAACTTTGAGAAAAATCAGCACTTTAGTTCACTTGCAACACAGTTAGTGAATGGACCTCTGGAAACACTAAAGAACACTTGGTGCCCATTTTCATCATTTCCACACTAGGAGTTATTTTTATGCATTTTTAGTAGTAACACAAGTGATTTTCAGCTGCAAACATAAAGCCTTATTAAACTTGGTTTGTAAAGATGCAATCTTCATGGGCCTGGACTGATACCTAGTGGCTAAATCCTCACCTTGCATCTGCCACTGGGATTGCACATAGGCAACAGTTCATATCCCAGCTGTTCCAGTTCCCGTGCAGCTCCCTGCTTGTGGCCTGGGAAAGCAGCAGAGAATGGCCCAAGGTCTTAGGACTCTACCTGCATGGGAGACCCAGAAAAAGCTCCTGGCTCCTGGCATTGCATTGGCTCAGTTCCAGCCATTGTGGCCACATGGGGAATGAACCTGTATCTACTTCTGTCTTCATATCTTCCTTAATAATAATAATATTCTTTATTTTAAACACAGTCTTTCTCTTTTAAAATAAGAATGATAGGAGTAGTTCCAAGATTTACTTGCTTTCTGAATGCTCCTTGAGAAAAGCAAAAAGCCTCTTCTAAATGCAAGTCCTCCCCAGGAGATAAGGATGGATTCACAATCTTTGACTAGAAAGATCACTGAACAAGAATTGCAACTCCAAGTAGAGTGTGCCTTCCCCCTAAGGTACTTATGAATCACACTGTGACCTTTTAAAGTACCTCTATGAACACATACGCATGATTCGCTCCAAAGACAGCAGCAGCATAGTTGGAAAAGTATTGCTGCAATGGAATCAGTTATTTCTAGCATTTGTCACTCTATGAACTCTTCAGTATCTTCCTTTTAATAAGGTATTCTTCATACATTTGATAATTGTAATGAGCTCAATAACTGGATGTCCTGTTATTCTGTAACCCCACACATTTCCTCTCAGTTATGTGATTCCCATTAACTATGAAATTTCAGATATTATATAAAGATGATTAAATGAGTATAATGAACTGCATACTTGCTAAATGTGTTTGCATTTCTCCCTTTGAAATTGGGTGCTGCCATTGTATATACAGTACACAGTAAGGCTTTTTATCCTTGGGGAGAGCTGAGACCATAGTAACTATTTTGAAATATATTTGAGAAATGATTGCAGCCAGCACTTGGGTTGAATTTGTGTTGATGAAGAAAGAGTAAAAGGGATTGTGTTTATTGCTGGACCTCTTTTTGTTTGTCCATGTATGCTAAGCTTTGTAATATATATATTACAACAGCTTTGCTTCTGCCGATTTAATTGAGGCTTTTGGTCTCTTAGCAGACCTAAAATATGTCCAAGAGAAGGAAATTTGTTTCTCTGATAAAATCACAATTATTTCTGATTATAAAATACATTTGAGGAATTATGTTTAATGACCAGCTTCCAAAAATAGTCGCAGAAGCTGAGGAAGAATGTGCACACTTCCTTGGATGGGGCAG